ATGTCAACCTCCCGCTTGTTGTGTCTGTGGCATCGCAGCTAACGCCGCTAAAACTACTGCTCTTCCTTGAAAAATACCGCGTTCTTTCTACTTTGGTACGCAAGATGTCTTCTATATGTACACAATTGCAAATACCATTCTCTACCATTTTGTGGACTAGTTGTACGTGTAGTCTTTCATATAGTGTAGCATTCCATGTGCACCATATCCAATTTTGTAATTCGCTGGCGTTCGTCGTGCCGTAATTCAAATGAGTGTTTTGCAGCACGCTTAGATACACCTACCACAATTTCATTTTGGCATGCTAAAATTTCCTAGTGTTCTTGTTATACTCCGAGTGTTAAGAATTTGCACATATCCACTATATCTTTCTATTGGATTTTATCAAACATTTCAGGGAACACACGTCATAATCCAGTATCAGGTCGATGTTACTTGTCATACTGTTGGGCGCTGTCGTCAATGGGGTGATTCCCTTCGAACGCTCCATTGCTGAAATTAATGAAATGCACAACGTTCATCATCTACTCTACCAAGGCGACATTTTGCTGACACCGTACGTGAGAATTTCAGCGCCAATCATTATTTTTTTGGATGTGAACATTGTAGTGAGCATGCGGAACAGATTGCTAGAGCCACAAACGGAGGGGATCGTGAGGAAGGACAACGCATGAAACGTCAAGCCAGTGCATTCAAGAAAATGCCGTCAAAACTTTGGTTAGAAGGAGTGAACTACCACTTCGCATCAAGCATCAGTAAGCATAGGATGATGTCATAGGTTAGCTAAAAACTCGAGTGGAAATACAGTATTAAAAATATTCCAGAGGATAACATTAGGAACGCATTCGCTAAAGCAGCAAAGCTATGGGAAAGCAACACCTGTATCAATTTCACAGAAAATCCTTCAGGTGAAGATTAAGCAACTTTGACTTAATGTGTGAATGCCATGCGCTGCGCTTAAGGAAGTTTGCGAAGAAGCGAATTGAATAGACACTAGTCCGGAGTAAGGCAGAATGCAGAATATAAAAGTTGATTATCTAAAACGAAAGTATATATAGAATTATGATTGATAGAAAACCTCTTGTTCACGTTGTTGCTCTGTTTTTTCGTTACACATAAAAACGTTACTCTTTCAGCTAAAGCCCGAGTGAGGGTGTTTTCTGGACAAGGATGTTATTCCTATGTAGGCAAACTCAAGGAACACGGCGAACAGCTGATGTCTTTGGGATACAATTGCGCTACGTTAGACATTGTTGCGCACGAAATCGGTCACACTCTTGGATTTATTCATACCCATTCACGACACGACCGTGACAACTTTATCAAAGTTAAGAAGGAAAATATTGCGGTAAATTCTTGACATCTTTTACTACAACTGCTAACATTATGACAGGCAGTAATTGAGCATTTTCCTCAGCTCATAGTTCTAGGACGCCTAATCGAAATCTTTTCTCACTCAAGAATTGTTCACATCTGAGCAGGAAGATGTACATCTGTGAGCCCTTGCGTCAATGTGACTAATGCCTCTTGAGTATGTTCGTTAGAGCATTACGCCGCACAGATGCCCTTCAGTGTCCGACGCATGTTTTCTGGAATTCCGTCGCTAATCAGTGCTCACAAGCTGATAAACATTATTCAACTTCGGTTTTGCAATACCGGTCCTCCTCCATTGCCTTGGTGGTATCACGATTAGTAACTATTGCTTCAGAGCCTTATAGACTGT